ACCTGTAAAAAACAATACAAAATCAACATTTTTCTTATTTTTTCCTCTCGACATGGACGTCCTGTCGTCCACGGCGATAATCCATTGCAAAAAATACCACAAAGAGCACACGCGCGCGTTCATGTCAGAATCCTACCGAACACCGTGTGTTTGCAAGCATTTCAACATAAAAACATCAAAAACCCAATGCTTTTTTCACAAAAAATTGTACAAATTTCCCGCCCGGGCTCTCTTGCTGAAATCATAGGAAAACCATAGGAATCTTAAGAATTCGGTCAAATCCAGCGATTTCACGTCATCGCGCGGTGCACTCGCGATGCTCTGTCATGCACCCAGGCCGCGAATCCTGTGCAAAAAATACTACAAAGAGCACACTCGCGCGTTCATGTCAGAATCCTACCGAATACCGTGTTTTTGCAAGCATTTCAACATAAAAACATCAAAAACCCAATGCTTTTTCACAAAAATGCTTTGGGGTGTCCTGTCAGACCGTCGGGCTTCCTCCGGCCACCTCTGGCTTCCTGCGGTGTACCGGGCCATTCTCGACTCGTCTGGCAATGCGTGCGCGGCATTCAACACGCGCTCGCCAGTTCCCGTCGGCAACCGCCATCGCGGCCGCATCAGCTGTACCAAACCGGCTGGCCGGTGTGACTTCGGCCCCCAGTTGTGCCAGCTTTGCTTCTTATGTTGTGGGAGGGCGGGTGGGACTGGGCATGCCATGCTTGACTCGCTCGAGCTGGCTAGCTTGGCTCCTACTCCTATCCTTATTCCTTATTAGAATATACTCCTACTCCCCCCTCAGGCCGGCAGATAGGGGCCGCATCCGGGTGGTCCCATCCTAACCTGTAAAAAACAATACAAAATCAACATTTTTCTTATTTTTTCCTCTCGACATGGACGTCCTGTCGTCCACGGCGATAATCCATTGCAAAAAATTCCACAAAGAGCACACGCGCGCGTTCATGTCAGAATCCTACCGAACACCGTGTGTTTGCAAGCATTTCAACATAAAAACATCAAAAACCCAATGCTTTTTCACAAAAATTGTACAAATTTCCCGCCCGGGCTCTCTTGCTGAAATCATAGGAAAACCATAGGAATCTTAAGAATTCTGTCAAATCCAGCGATTTCACGTCATCGCGCGGTGCACTCGCGATGCTCTGTCATGCACCCAGGCCGCGAATCCTGTGCAAAAAATACTACAAAGAGCACACTCGCGCGTTCATGTCAGAATCCTACCGAACACCGTGTGTTTGCAAGCATTTCAACATAAAAACATCAAAAACCCAATGCTTTTTCACAAAAATGCTTTGGGATGTCCTGTCAGACCGTCGGGCTTCCTCCGGCCACCTCTGGCTTCCTGCGGTGTACCGGGCCATTCTCGACTCGTCTGGCAATGCGTGCGCGGCATTCAACACGCGCTCGCCAGTTCCCGTCGGCAACCGCCATCGCGGCCGCATCAGCTGTACCAAACCGGCTGGCCGGTGTGACTTCGGCCCTCAGTTGTGCCAGCTTTGCTTCTTATGTTGTGGGAGGGCGGGTGGGACTGGGCATGCCATGCTTGACTCCCTCGAGCTGGCTAGCTTGACTCCTACTCCTACTCCTACTCCTACTCCTACCCCTACTACTACTACTACTACTACTACCACTACTACTACTACTACTACTACTACTACTCCTACTACTACTACTACTACTACTACTACTACTACTACTACTACTACTACTACTACTACCACTACTACCACTACTACCACCACTACCACTGCTACCACTACTACCACCACTACTCGCGGCAGCGCCGGCACCTCTCGCCGAGCAACTGGCCGAAGGCAGCCAACGCGCCAGCACGACTCGCACGGAAGCCTCAAGGGCGGGAGCGGCAACAGCAGCGCCACGAGCAACGGCAACGATAGCAGCAATAATCGAAACAGCATGGCGCGCCCACGACACCAACGATAGCGGCGACACCGCCGCGAAGAGGATAACTAAAGGCGGGGTGCTTAAGTATCCGCCACCGTGCCCTTGGCACGAAGTGGAGCGCCCCAAAGCTCATGCAGTCTCTTCATTGTAGTCTCTTAAGGGCCCTGGCCCAACAAAATCCTGGGCGCTCTCGGGGTGACTCGCGCGGGCCTCCAGAGGGTCATTTATGACACCCCTCACGAGGATCGTGGCCTTCGACCCGCGCCAAGAACCAAGAAGCCCCCGAGGTGCCGCGAGAGACCCCAGAGCCCCTCAAGAGGACCCCAAGGAGCCCCAAGAGGCCCCAAAGAGGCCCCAAGAGGCCCCAAAGAGACCACAGGACTGCCCCCGAGAGGCCTCAAGAGGCCTCGAAACTGCTTCCCAGGGGCCTCAAATAGGCCAACCACGAGACCCCAACCGACATCCATGAGGCTTCTGACCCACCAACCAGGCACGGTGGCGGGATAGGCCGAAGGCCAGAGGGCCCGCGCGACTCCCGCGCCGGCGCTGGGCCCCCACCCCCCCCCCCGAGGGCCCTCAGGGGCGTCAAAGGAACGCCCTGCGCGCAGTGACGCGCGCGGGGGGCTGGGGGCCCAGCGCCGACCCGCGAAATCAACGCAGACCTCCGGCCTCCGGGACCTCGCTTTGTTTGCGCCCAGGCGTCCTGCCCGGCCGCGTCGACTACCCCTCGAGCAACGGGGCCACCTGAGCCACGATGGCTTTGTGGACATGGTCCTTCCAGCTGATGCCCTCCCCCTCTGCCTCCTGCGGGAATGCAATCCAATCCGCCCTGGCCAGGCCCGACCTGGGCCCAAGATCGGAGCACGCGCCCTCCCAGCTCGGCCAGGGAAGCATGCGCGCCGAACCCGTGCCCAGGAAGGGCCTGGCCAGGACAGGCGCATGTGCATGTTTTTCGCCACCCGATCCTGCGCGAACGTCGCGACGTACTCCGAGAGCCGCTTTTGCGCGCGGCTGCTGCCAGTCCTCATCAGCGCCTGGCACATAAAATTCTCGCACTTCGTGGTCGCCGCCGTGCGCAGGACCGTCCTCGCCACGCCGTAAATGGCCTTCTCCTCAGCGCTCAGCAGGTCCGCGCCCGGGAACCGGGACAAGTGGCTCTTCACCATCGAATCCAAGGCCGCGCGCGCCTGGCACAAGCCAGGGCGACAGTGAAGCCAATTGCCCCCGGACCCAGACACCAGCCCCAGACCTCCGGCGCCGCGAAAAACCCAAGACGGATATTTTTGGCGGCCTTCGGGCCCAAAAGGGCCCTCGCCAGGCCCCAGGGCCGCCCGCAAAATTGCCTGGGATGAAAGCCGGCCCCTGAGCAGGTTCCCAGACCTCCGTTAGCCGACGCTGCGGGGAGAAAGCTGAAAGCCCCGATGCCGGACCCCAGGGGCACGCTGCGGGGAGAAAGCCCCGATGCCGGACCCCAGGGGCTGAGCAAGGGAAGACAACCAATGTGGCAACGCCCGGCGATGCTTGGGCGCTTGCTTGGGCAAAGTAGCTGGGCAATTACTGCCACGGGTGGCCCCTGCGATGTCCGGCCCGGCAACGCCGCCCGATGCTGGCGAAGCGACGGGCGACGACAACCTGGGCAACACTTGCCACGCGAGGCCCCACGATGTCTGAGCAACACTGGCCGGGCAATACCTGTCACGGACGGCCCCTGCGCCCAAGCCCAGGAGATGTCGCCGAAGGCCGAAGGGCCCCCCGCCCTATCCCCTGCCCCCCTTTTCACTCTCGCCCCCCCCCCTTCGGGCGCAAGCTAAAGCTCGAGGCGGGCCGCCGCCCAAGGACCCAAGGAGGCCTGGGCAATAACTGTCACGGGCGGGCCCCGCCCGGGGCATAGCCCCAAGAGGCCCGGGCAATAGCTGTTACGGGTGGCCCCTCCTCCCTCCGACCTCCCCTCCTCCGCCCGATTCCTCCTTTCCCCTCCGCCCCCGACTCCACCGTCCTCCTCCCTCCTCCTCCTCCTCCTCCTCCTCCTCCTCCTCCTCCTCCTCCTCCTCCTCTTCCTCCTTTTCCCCCTCCTCCTCCTCCTCCTCCTCATCCTCCTCCTCCTCCTCCTCCTCCTTCCTCCTCCTCCTCCTCCCCTCCGTCCGTCCTCCTTTTCCTCCTCCTCCCTCTCCTCCTCCCCGCCCACCTCCTCCTCCTCCTCCTCATTCTCCTCCTCCTCCTCTTGCTTCTTCCTCCTCCTCCTCCTCGTCCTCCTCCTCCTCCTCCTTCTCCTCCTCCTCCTCCTCCTCACTCTCGCCCTCCCGGTCGGGAGGCGAACCCGGAAAAACGGAGGGGCAAAACCCGAAAACCGGAGGCGAAACCCGAAAACCCCGGGGAGGCGAAACCCGAAAACCGGAGGGGAGGCGAAACCAAAGCGCCACGAAGCGAAACCCGAAAACCCACATGGCGAAACCCGAAACGGAATCCCAACACTGATTTCCAAAAACATGGAAGCGCGGTGTCGTCGCCCGCGTCGGCCTCCGCCTCCTCCTCCTCCACCTCCTCATCCTCCTCCTCCTCCTCCTCCTCCCTCGGCCTCCTGTTCCTCCTCCTCCCTCCTCCCCCCCGTCCTCGTTGTCCCCCTCCTCCTCCTCCGTCCCCCCATGTACCCATGTACCTTGTTCTAAGCCGCTCGAGGCGCAAAGTTCTTATGCCCCGGCGCCTTACTTTGCTTTGGGGCATAAGAACTGATATGGCTGCTGATGTTCCCTCCGTCGCCATCCCCTTTCCGTCGTCGTCGGTCGTCGTCGTCGTCGTCGTCGGTCGTCGTCGTCGACGTCGTCGCCGTCGTCGGGCGTCGTCGCCAATTAATTTCTCGCCCGCGGATCGGCCAAAAAATGGCTGGTATTTCAAGGCACCTTTTGGGGGCGAAAAGGTGGCTTGAAATACATGGGTGTTTTTTTTCCACAAGGGGTGTGACAGCGAAAGTAAGAAGCGAATTTGGAATATGTCTCTAGAGTCCAGCATTCCGCGCACCATGCTTTGGCATCGCCCAGTGCTGCGAGGCGCCAGTGGCTCGCTGGGAGGCACCCGTTGTCCTTCAGCGCAATGATGCGCGGCGCCATGCCTTCCAGGCTGAGCGCCTGCTCGCTGTCGCAGTCCGCCACGAGCTCAGTGAAGTGGAATTCGCCGGAACGAAGATCACCGTGCCCACAATGCAGCCAAGTGCCCGCGCCAGGATCGTCCTCCCAGCCGGACTCCTTCTCGAACACGTGCAGCACGGCCATGTTCTCGTCGTAGACCTTGCGGGCCGCGGAGTCCTTGACGAACGTCTTGCGGAAGATGATTGACGCCGCCTGCGCCAGACACCGCCCGCTCCGACAGTCGTCACTGCACAAGCACTGGCCAGCGAGCGCGCAGATTGACCTCTGCCTCGCCTTCTGCTCCGCGGGGTCGCGCCCGGGCAGGGGGGGGGAAGCGCTGTGGACCAGGCAATTGTGGCGCGCCTGCCAGGCAGACCCCAAGGCGCCCAAAATTGACGCGTGGCCGGAACTGCTCTGGCCAGCGAGCGCGCGCTCGGCCATCTCGCGAGCGGGCGGGCACCAGAAGATGAAGTCCACTGGCAGCGCCTCGCTCCCCAGGGGGACCGCCTGGGCTCACTCCGCGATGGCGTCTGTGTCACGGAAGCCAGCCCGGGCGAGCACCTCCTCGCGATGGGACTCGCACCACTCGACGATCGCCTGCTCCGTCCGGGCTGCGGCATGCGCATCGGCTTGCCTAGCCAGGGCCTTTTGGCGGCACACGTCGTGGCAATCCTTCTCCGCGCGTCGGTGGAGCTCGATGGCCACCACCTGGCGCTGGGTAAGCTGGCCTGTCGCCTGCTGCGGCTCGAGGGCCTTCGGCATCGCCCCCCCGAAGGACTTGCCCCCGCATCTGTGGGCCAGCGTGCCTGCACGGCCCTCCTCCTGCATCTGCTGCCACACTTCGCCGCCGGCCGCCCTCTTCTCCCGGGCGGACTGGTGGGCCGCTCGCATGACGGCCTTCTGCTCCCCCCGAGTCTTCCACGTCGTTCCTGCCAACTCCACCCCGAGAGCGCGACGCCAGACCCCCCCGCCATGTGTTTTGTGGCCAGCTTGGTGCCCAGTGCGGATCACCTTGCACCGCGGTGGCCTGGAACCCTCGGGCCTGGTGTTTTCGGGCGGGCGGAGCGCGCGACTGCGAGATATCACCTCCTTCTCCTGGATCGCCTGCTGGCGTATGACGAACTCGGCGCTGGCAGCTGCAATGTCTGGGCAGTGCGTCTGGGATTTCTCCCGCTGCAAGCGCCGGAGCAACGCGTTCAAACACTCAATGAAACAATTGTCTATCTTCACCAACAATCCGACAACATGCAACACCCCCAGGGCCTCACTGCCCGTCAACAGCGGCACGGTCGAATACTTTTTAAGGAAGTGCTCCGACCACGGGTCCAATAAACACTTGGGCGAATGCAGCAACTCGTGGGCGAGGGCCTGCCGGTCCTGCGGGCCGCAACTGAGCAGCCCCCAAAGCTTGCACGGGAAGCCCGCCCAGCGCCGAAAGAGCAACGAGCGCGATGTGCACTTGGTCGCAGAGATCATGCTGAAAGCGACGTTGGCCATGACGCGCGTGCGATCGTGAAACTCCAATGCTGGCCACTTACTCGTATCCCAGAGCAGGTTGTCCGTGCGATGGAGAAAACGGGTCTCCGCGCGCCCGTCGCTGACCTCAGACATGCGAGTCGTGCATGAGCCTGTCCGCATAACCTCTGCCATCTGCTTCAAGAACCACCCTTTGCCCCCCATGTGCTCGATGTAATGCGTGAGCTCCACGGTCGGGGCCATGGTGGCGCAAGCCACCACCAACAATCCCGCGGGCCTGATGGGCGCAAAAACCTCACACTTCTTCCGCTGCTTGCGGTTGAACGCAGCCCAATCGATCCCTGGCTGGCCGTCCCGTTTAGGGTCGGGCTCGCGAGCGGCGCCACTATCAGGCCGTTCGTCATCAGATGAGCTGCTCAACTGCCACGTCGATCTGGGCTCCGCTCCCTGTTGGAACCCGGCGGGGTCTGCCAACTTACTGCGGCACCACTTTGTCACCGCGTAATGGCCGACGTCGTGGATCCCGAATACCAAGCGCGCCTCGGAAGCGGGCGCCAGAGAATTAAGCCAGCGATGCCGCTGAAGCGTTGGGACCTGGGGGGTGCCAAACGGCGCGGCCGCCTCGCCAGGCCACCAGGCCCAGACGCCCAGCCCCCCCCCCCCCCCCCTTGTATGGCGAGCGCCTCTCCCAAGCAAGCAAGGGGGATGGGGGCGAGGAAAAAGACGACGAGGATGAGGAGGACGAGGAGGATGAGGAGGAGGGGGAGGGGGGAGAAGAAAGTGATGAAACCAAGGAGCGACAGCCGCAGCATCAGCAGTTGCAGGAGGGCCAGGAAGCGGGAGGAGGAATAAAACATATGTTTGAACGTGATTCGCATTCTGGGCCCCCCGGGTCCCCAGGGGCCTCTGGATACCCCCGGAGACCTGCGCGGTTCCACCCGCCGCCCCCCTGGATTCCGGGCACCCCGGGGCCCCCAGAGGCCTCTGGAAACTATCCCCCCCCCAGGGAATTCCGCAGCCGCCTCCCAGTGGGCGACCGCTGCTTCTGCCAGCCCTCATTCGATCGACCACTCGGCCGCTCGATCGCTTTCGGAAGCGCGCTCAGATGAATGCTCGCCCGCCACGTCGCCCTCCTCCTCCTCCTCCTCCTCCTCCTATTCCTCCTCCTTCCCCTCATGTGCATGCTCCTCCTCCTCCTCCTGCCCAGGCCTCTCCCCCCTCGCCCGCGTCGCTGTGGCAGGGCGGCGATGAAGCGAAGGGGGGGGGCGCTGGCCAAGAGGGAAAGCTTGGGGGGGGGGCGGCCGGGCGGACGAAGGCTGGCAACAACGATTTCAACAAGGGCGGCGGCGGCGGCCAGCTTTCCTCCCTGGAAAGACCTTGCTCGGAAGCAGCGCGAACGCCGCCCGGACTGCCCAATCCCACTTATCCCAGAGAAGACCGGGGCAACGCCATACGATCTCGGGGCTGGTGATGTCCGAGGTGAACAGGAAGAGAAGCTCGTGCCTGCGACGGATATCCGCCACTGCTTTTCCAGGGAGGCATAAATCGAGCAGCGCAACTAGCGGGGCCCTGCTCGGCGCATCTAGCGAAGGGGCGGCATCGTCGACGACGCGCACCCTCTCCCACAGCCAGATCGCGATGTACCGCCTGAGTTTTTGAACGGCCCCCCCTGGCTTCATGCATAGGGAATAAGCGATGAGACCTGATGCGACGTAGTCCATCGATCTCCACGAGCGGCTCTGAATGGCATGCGCGATGTGCGCAAAACACGGCTCAATCAAACACTCGATTCCGCTCTTAGCGGCCCTGCCATTGAAGCAACGGCCGTTCTCCAGGGCGCGGTCGGCCGTGTAGGCGTCGAACAGGAAGCCGAACAGCTGGCGCAGGCTGGCCAGGCCGTTGACGCCCCAATGCGCGTCAAGCACCTGGGCCAATGTCTCGCCAGTTCCGTGGTCAACAACTTGCAGTGGCGTAATGAGAGGAACCACCCAGCACTGCGTGCGCTTGGCCGCCGGGCACTCAAAAAGCCATACCTGCTCGCATCGGACCTGGACCTCTTTCATGGCCTGCGTTTCCTTTTTGTTCATACGTCGCCTAAACACTGGCTGCCGCACGCGCGCCAGCTCCTGCCTTGCCCCGCGCTTCGGCCCCATGTCGTTGTACTGCCCTTTATGAAGCAACGGGGTTTCGTCAATCTGCGTGCACTGGAAATCGGCAACGGGCACAAAAGCCGCACGGCTGGCAATCCTGGCGCGCAGCCAGCTGACCAACGAGGAGGTCCACGCCTGAGACGCCCAATAGATAGCAGCAGCGAGCTGGGCCAACCTCTGGGGAACATTTCGTCGAGGCATGCCGACAATGTGGGCCGACGCCGTCGTCGAGGCGATCGGCGCTGAAATAGGCCCGAAGAAATGCGGCACTACCTTTTCTGTCAACTCTGGGTCCCGCGGCACAGACGAGCGGCAGGCCGCCTTGGCCACGGCGGCCGACACGCCCGAAGGCAGGCACGACAGCCATAAGCCGAATCGTGGGGGGGACTGCGCGGCGCAATCCCCCTTCTCGTTCTCCTCCTCTTCGGGCGCATCCGCCGAATCGCCCAGCAAGCCGGCCGATGCCAACGCGGCGTCGCGGTGGGCACGGGCGGCGGCGGTGCCTGCATACCCGACCGGCCTTCCCCGCCGAGTGCGTCTGGCCACCCGTCGACGTGGCGCGGCATGCCCCCCAGCGGTGGCCAGCGGGCCATCGTCACCCTGGTCGCCCTGGTCGCTGTCAGGAAGCTCCCACGCGCGCTTCCAGCGTCCAGGCGATGAGGCCTCAGCATCAGATAAGTCGGGCAACTCCCACATGCCTGCCCAGAGGCGATGAAGAAAAAAACTGGCACTCAGCAGTCCCAGAACGCCCGAGGCTTGAGCCGAGGTGCGGTGGCGACGGGCGGAGCGCGAGCGAGAGAAACCAAAGGGGAGCCCAGGGTGGCCCAAGAAACCCCAAGAGATCCCGCGAAGGACCAGTGAAAGCTTGAGGGCGCATGGGGCCCAGGCCCTTCATCGCCGGCCCAAGTGGCCCCTCCAGCGAGCCAACGGCCGCAGGGGAAGATCCGCTGAGCCCTCAAGGTGGCCCAAGAGCGTCTGACAACGCCGCCGAAACGCCCGTGATCCCACCAGCCCATTTAGGGTGCGAGGTGGTTTGGAGCACTTCCTCTTCCAGCCCCCTTCTCCCCCATTCGGGGAAAAGTTTGCATCCCCCCATGCCCCCGCTCCCTGGAACTGGGCGGGGGGGGGGCTGGGCCGTTGGAGCGCCCTAGATTGCCCGAGAGGGCCTCAAAGATCCCAGGACGACATCGATGGCCCAAGATGCCCGAAGATGGCTCAAGATGGCCCCCAACTTGGCCCAAAAGGCCACACGACCCCCCAAGAGGGCCCGAGTGGCCACGGGGCCTCCGGCGACGCCCCCAGAACCACACCCTTTCCGAATCCCGCAGAAAATCACAGATTCTTGCGTTCTCGCCACATTGCCCCCCATGAGCTCCTGAAGCCCCAAAGTGGCACCAAGATTGCCCGACATGGCCCCAAGAAAGGCCCAATGCGGCCCCAAGGGCGTCATGCAGCCCGCCCTATTTGATCGATGCTGTAATGGCTGGAAGCGCCTAAACAAATAATGCGCCCCCCATCCCCGGGATTCCCCTGCTGAGTAAAACATGTTAACTTCACCCTGGGTGTGCGCGCCGGACTGCGATATGCGCACAAGATATTTGCGTGTGCGCATATATTTATATATATATATATATATATATGTATATATACATATATGTATATGTACATATATATGTATATATATGTGTGTGTATGTGGGCACGTGTATTTGTCCATCGATATGGGCGCGTGCACATCTGTGTGCGATTGGGGCCTTCTCCAATATAACGTGCTGGGCCGATTTAGTCAATTACTTCGCGCGCGTTCTGTATGAGAGCGCACCATGAGCGAGGGGCCGGGGCCGCCCGGCCCATGCGCATCCTGTGCTGGGAAAACACAATGCGCGAGGGGCATGCGCATTCTGTGTGGGAAATCGATGCGCTTTTCTTCTGGCAAGAAGCACAAAGCGCGAAAGGCCAGGCCCGCCTCGCGGGCGGTGGCCCACGCGCATTCTCTTTGGAAACACCATGACCATGAGCGAAGGGCAAGGGCCGCCGCGCGCGCGGCGGTCCGTGCACATTCTACCTTGGGAAACAGAATTAGCGAGGGGCCGGGGCCGCTTCACGCGCGGCGCCCCCACCACATTCTATGATGAAGCAGCCGCGCGCGCGAGGCGGCCGATGCGCATTCTGTGTGGATCGACGAGAACCATGCGCGAGGGGCCAGGGCCGCCGCGCGCGGCAGGCCACCCACATCCTGCTTGAGAAACACCCAGGCGCGACGGGCCAGGGCCGCCGCGACGCGGCGGCCCATGCGCATTTTGGGCAAACAACATGCGCGATGGGGGCAGGGCCGCCGCGCGCGCGGCGGCCCAAACGTCTTCTGCCTGGGGAACACCATGCACCATGCGCGAGGAGCGAGGAACCAGGGCCGCCGCGCGCACGGCGGCCCATGCGCATTCTGTCTGCAGCAAGCAGCATGCGTGAGGGGCCAGCGGTGCCGCGCCCGCGCGGCGGCGGCCCATGCGCATCCTGCGATGGGAAAACACCATGCGCCAAGGACCAAGCCGCCGCGCGCACGGCGGCCCATGCGCAGTCTGCGTGGCGAAGGGCCGTGCGCCAAGGGCCAGAGGAGCCGCGCGACCCATGCGCATTCTATTTGGGCAAGCACCACGCTGGAGACGCCAGTGCAGCCGCGCGCGCGCGCGGCGGCCCATCCGCATTCTGCGCGGAAAATACCGCGCGCGAGGGGCCAAGGACGCCGCGCGCGCGGCGGCCCATGCGCACTCTATGGCGAAAACCATGTGCGAGGAGCCAGGGCCACAGCGCGCGCGGCCGCCCAGTCGCATTCTGCGTGAAAGCCAAACAAGAATGCGCGAGGGTCCACAGCCGCCGCGCGCGCGGCCGCCCTGGCCGCACATGCGCATTCTGCGAGGGGAGACCCCCGTGCGCGAATGGGCCAAGGCCGCGCGGGGCGGCGCCGCGCGCGCGGCGGTCCACGCGCATTGTTTTGGGAAACACCGCACGCGCGAAGGGCCAGGGCCGCCGCGCGCGGCGGCCCACGCGCAGTCAGTGGAACAAACAGTGCGCCCTGTGCGGAAGAGCACTATGCGCGAGGGGCCAGGGCCGCTGCGCGCGCGGCAAACACATGTTGTAGAAAAGCAAAACGCGCGAGGGGCCAAGGCCGCCTCGCGCGCGGCGGCCCATGCGCCCATGCGCTTTGTGCGGGGCGCACCCTCCGCGAGGGGCCAGGACCGACGCGCGCGCGCGCGGCGGCCCACGGCCACCCTGTGCTGGAAAACGCAATGTGCGATGGGCCAGGGCAGCTGCGCGCGCGACGGCCCATGCGCGAAAAACACAACGCGGGGCGGCCCAGGCGCACCCTGCGTGGGAAAAGCAATGCCCCAGAGCCCAGGCCCGCCGCGCGCACGGAGGACCATCCGCATTCTGCGTGGAAAAAAACACCACGCGCGAGGGGCCAGGGCCGCCACTTGCGCGGCGGCCCATGCGCACTCCGCGCTGGGAAAATCAATGCGCAAGGGGCAAGGGCCGCCGCGCGTGCGGCGCCCCATGCGCATTCTGCATGGGCGCAGTGCGCGGCGGCCCATCCGCATTCTGTGCGAAAAGCCGCGCGCGAGGGGCATTGGCCGCCGCGCCCGCGGCGGCCCATGCGAATTTCGCGTGGGGTGCACCATGCGCGAGGGGCCAAGGCCGCCGTGCGCGCGGCAGCCCATGCGCACTCTGCGCGGCCGCGCGAGGCCAGGGTCGCCGGACGCGCGGCGGCCCTGGCCCCTCGCATGGTTTCAGCGCAGTCGGCGTGGGAAAGCGAGGCCCGCGGGCCCTGCCTTTGACCACCTCCGGGGCCAGCTTGAAGGCCCCGCGAAGACCCAGGGACATGGCGCACTCGGGGGGGCCGCACCGCGGCCCCGCGCGCGCCGCGAAAAGAGGTGATTGCCCCCAGGCCGCGCGCGCACACCTATAGGCGCACGCGGCCGGGCGAACATGCACACCCGCGCGCGCGCCACCGACGAGACCGGTGAGGCTCCGCAGTCGGGCCGCAAACTGCGGGCTAAAACAACTTGAACTGATGTCCCGCGGAGAACGCCCCAAGATGACCAGGCGACCCCGAGGCAAAACGAATCGCGCAAGAAACGGAAGGGGGCGAGAACAAAGGCAAGGCACGCAAGAACAATTCATTCAGCCGCCGAATGCGGGCGAGCGTCGGTCTGTCGGTCAGCGGGGGCGCCAGGAGTGTGGTGCGCGAAGCCGCGGCAGCGCGCTCAGCGAGCAAATGGACATGGCGCAAGGGCACTTGCGATATATACATATACATACATACATACATACATATATAGATATGTATGTAGATTATGTTATATATATATATATTAAATATACATACATATATATATATGTATATATACATATATATATACTATTCAAATATAGTTAATACATACATTTACAAATATGTATATATATCATATATCTAAATGTGTTCATGTAGTAATTATATAACTATATATATATATATATATATACGTGCGTGTACTATGTATACACACATATTAATTAATTGATTAATTTATCAAATAGTTAATTAATTGCTTGATTGATTAATTAATTAATTCATTCATTAATTATATATGTAAATATATATATATATATATATATATATATATATTCATTATATATACATATATATATATACCAACATATATCATATATATATATGTCATATATATATATATATATCATATATATATATATCATATATACATATATGATATATATGTATGTATTCCCAGGAAGTATCAGACACGATGTATCCCCAGGGAACATTACAAGAATTTCCGACACGCCCCCCTGGGAAATTGTTCGGAAATTCCCGGGGGAAGTTTTTCGGAAATTCTTTCATAATGTTTTGTGGGGGCGCCTCCTGTCTGATTCTTGCGCGTTATAATCCTCCTCCTCCTCCTCCTCCTATTTCTCCTCCTCCTCCTCCTCCTCCTCCATTCCTTTTCCTTATATGCAACTTCTCCCTGTCGCACCCCGAGGCAAGCTTTAGGGCGGGCTGGTCGTTTCGCCTGAGACTTCCGCACCACTTACGACCCTGAAGCTTTGAAAATGACAACAGCTTCACAAATGGAGGATCGTTTTCAAAATGTGGCTCTCGCCTCAGAGCCGCGCACATTCTTCTCCAAAAGTTGCAAGAGTTTCGCGGATTGAGGGCGGGTCGTTTTCAAAATGTAGCTCTCGCCTCAGCGCCGCGTACATTCGTTGTCAAAAATTGCAAGAGCTTCACGGATTGAGGGCGGGTCGTTTTCAAAATGTGGCTTTCGCCTTAAGGCCGCGCACATTCGTTTTCAAGAACATGATCGACCCACGAACCCGGGAAGGAATATAGATAGACATGTAAGGCCTGGCAACGTTTCAAAGACACCTGATTGGGCGATGGGCAAACGCAATGCTGAATGTATCGATCTGATGTACCGTGCCGGGGGCCGTGCTGTGCAGCGCCGTGCTGAACTGCGATGTGCCATGCCGCGACTTTGCTATATAGCGTTGTGGATCGAGTCCTCCTTTGCATCCGAGCCCTGACCGAACTGATCTGGATCTTAAGCTCGAGTTGCCTCAGCACATAATCGCTGCCCCAGAGCTAATTGACAGGGGAACATGCCAGGAGGACGCGCCGCGGAACGTCCCAAGGGACGCGCC